AAGCATGCTTTATCAATGGTCCTTTCTCAAACAAAGCACCAAGAGCGGAAGATGCTGAGGTACATTTTTTTTGCTTTGGCACTTATTACTGCTGTTTGATATGTGACCTTCCCAGCAGTTATTTGCATGTAGACTTGTTTGTTGAATACGTACATGAATTCTTCACTATTCTATGGTTTGTTTCAGCAGGTTCTTGCTGAAGCAAAAAGAATAGCTGACTCACACGTGGCTGCACGAGTAAGTATTAACTGGACAAGCTACTATTTTGGCAGTTGCAATTGCCACTGAAAAAGGAGTTTAACTAATTCTGTCAGTTTATTTCACACTTGAATTTTCAATTGAAACCTAAAGGCATAAGATTCTCAACTTGATTTGATAGTCACATGATGTTGTAAATCGAATTGGAACTTGGCTAGAAATCAAAGGGGCGTGTGCTTTTGTGTACTTGCATATGTGATTTCACCTGGATTTTCCACAATCTAGAATAATATAGCTTTCTATGTTTTATACTGTTCAAGGTGCTGAAGAGCCTGATTTTCCTGCCACATCCGGTATTGGTCCTGAAAGTGCTGAGAGGGCTATTCGTCATGGGGATACTATATCTCCATCCAATGTTCAAGTTCCACCTGCAGCTGTTGCACCTTCTACCTCAATAATGGCTGATAATTTCTCTAATTTTGCTTCCTTCCGTATGGTATGTGCAACATCTAGTCTTCTGTTTTCCTCTTCTCTCTCTCCATCAAAGAATAAAAATAAATGATTGGAAGTGACTGCTTCTGTCTTTGGGAAATATATGTAATTTGACTTACTATATGTGCTCCCCTTTAATAATTCATTTCTGTTTGCTTCCAATATTTTTATGGTCAAACTAATACCTGAGGAGGCAAGTGTTACCTTTCCTTGGAAGTTTGTATGGAAGAGTGTTTGTGTGTATGTGTGTTTTTTTTTAAGTTTGTTACTTGATACTTTTTGCTCTTGTATAAAAGTTCTCTAACTGCTGTGATATAATTTTCAGCCTCGGGTATATTGGAGAACTTATGCATTTGAGCAAATAGTCCAAGCTGCAAGCTCATCTGCTGTACTTCAGACAATCAAGCGGATTGAGCAAACCTTACAAGATCTTGGGGTTTGTCTATGCTTCCTGAAATTTGGTGCTATGAGTTATTGGTGGATGATGTTATATTATATGCACGATGACCAGATATGAAAACTCTTTTCTATGGTTACTTAATTTTTTAACCTTAGTCTAATGGCAAGTTCTATGCATAATGATTCCTCTCCCGCTCTCTCGAAGAGGGTTTCAGCCTATTCAATCTATGATTTCTCAAATCGTAAGGCCTTTTTATGTTTTTAGATGAAATTAGTTTTATTGGAGACAGTGTAGAGGTTCAGTGAAACAGACCTTTTTTTTTTTTTTAACTTGAGTGTGCTTGTTTGTAATTTTTGTCTTTGTAAGATGACCCTGTTTTATCATTTACTTTTAATAATTATTGCCAATTTACGGCGAAATAGATCCTGCTCCTTATTTCTAGCCATTTGATTGTTATTTAATTCTAAATCTTATGAACACTCTTCATTATTCTAGTTTAATATCTTTCTGAAATTGGCTATAAAAATTTTAAATTAATATTTTACAGGTTAATTTAGAATTTGGAGCCAAAGGTGCCAACAAAGGCTGTTTGTGCTGAGCATCTTGAATTAAAAAAAGAAATTCTAACGCTGCTAAATCTCCAGAAAGAGTTATTTGATTTTCATATCTCAAAATTATCTGTAGAATGCCAGTCTTCTTTGTGCTTGTTCTTATAATACGTAATCCTTCAATGTAGAAAGTGCCACCCCTTTAAGGCTTATAGTTAAGTGAAAATGTGCCTAAGTTGTATTTTGCTTCTATTTTCTAGTTCCTTTTTCCCCTTAAAAGTAAACTGATGAATGGAAGTTTATTTTACATGTCAATTTAAAGTTTTTCCTTTTCAGCATAAGATGCTTTTCCACTTTTTTTTTGTCTTTTTTATACATTCTAGGCTTCCATTCTGTCTATATATCTTGGATGATTGTTAGCACTAGTAATGTGCTGTTCCCTTGTTAACTGTCTTCATTTTTTTTTTTTTTTTTTACTAAGACAAGAATGACTTGCAATTGATAAACTAAGACAGTGATATATAGTCACTTGGTGAATGTCCGACAACAATGCATGAATCGTGCTGTAAAAATATTAATTATTTTCATGCACTATTGCACATGCTCAGGATTTGACTCAGCATTATTTAGAATCTGAGGTGTCTCATTTTCTTTTCTAGTGTTTCCCTGACAATGTCAGTATCTTTGTTAGGTTTTAACGGAGGGCCAAACTTTATTAAGATCTACAGTTAAAAAATTCCTTCAAAATTATTGTATGATGTAGTGATAGTTCACATCTCCAGTTTCTTTTAATGAATTTATTATTTATGAAAAAAAGAATGTGTTTTAGTCATGGTATTTCTCATTTTCGTTTGAGTCCTGAATATAATATTTTCTTTTCTGATAGGAAGTTCTGAAGATAAATTAGATAATTTGTTTTACTTATACCAATTAAGCTAAGGTGTTAAAAGCGTGGGGTTTTAGATTCTGAGTTTGGAAAATCTAAATTATGTACTATTATTTATCAGTAGAATACAGTAATTAAGCTAAGGTGTTATAAGTGTATGAATCATGATTGATTAGTAGTATACAGTATTAGAAGCGGTGTGCTGTTTTCACAGCTCATGGATTTATGTCCTTTAACAGTTGCAATACAAGGAGGCAGAGGGTTCATCTTTCTGTGATGGCTCCTATGGTAAAATGCCAGGCACATCAAAGGTTGAAAATTGGAGTTTCTAATTTTTTTAAATCTCATAGTTTTACAGACGTGTGATTATGAGAACCCTGCCCTTTTTCAATTGTTTAAATATTGAAATTTTGAAGTCTGTTAATTGAGCAGCGTTCACCTGGTGCTGCGGATCAGGATTGTACATTTTGTCCCTGAAACCATTAGTTTTAGAGGTAATATATCTAATTTTCCTTTTTTTTTTTTTTCAATCTGAGATGAGTTAGTTTAATGGTTTTGATTACTTTCATATTTAATTGTAATTCCTGGTGACAGAGTTGGCAAAAGGGAGCAGAAATGCAAGGTATGTGCCAATTATGTACGTTATTATTATTATTATTATTATTATTTATTTTGTTGCCTTTGTATTTCTTTCTCCGTGCTTTGCTAAGTTTAGAAATTTATCTTCTCTTATGATATTGTTTCTAGGGATCTGGAAGAGTATCTGAGACTTCATCTTCAGCAGCATAAAAGGCAAAGAAAGTAGAAGGCTTCAGACCTATAATAAAGGGTGAGCAAACAAATTGACCTCATATAAGTTAAGAGAGTTTTCTATGGTGTGGCTATGTTCCATGCTTGGTTTAGGTGTCAGTTTAGATGTTATACACAATACATTTATGGTTTTTCTATTGTATCTTTTACTATGTTTCACTAGTATTTGATGAGGATATTGCTTTTCTAATTCACCAAATTCACCGTGCTGGATTTGATTATGGTGCCAAATTTCAGGGACATGCACGTGGCAGCCAATTGTGAATCTGCCAAGGACATCAGAAGCAGATGTTGAAGCTCCATGGTTTGACTACGTAGCTTTTTTTTTTTTTACCCTAGACCAAGCTTTGTAGTCACAAGTAGGGAAAAGTCAAACATATTTTTTAATGATATGCATAAAGCATCAGAATCCATAACCTGAAACATATATTTCAACGATTTCATTAGCTGAGAATTAGACATTTGATTTTGTAGATGTTCCTGGTAGGTGACTGCTAATATTTTTTTTTCCCTGTATGAGAATGGAAATTTACATGTCATGTAAGGAAAATTCGTAGTGATGAAGATAAAATGTACCTTTTAGTTTTTAGTTTCTGACGAGAACAAATACATACAAAGAGTGTCATCTCATGTGTTTTTATTTTTCCTGCTTTTGTATATCAATGTTATGCTGGCTCTAAAAATCTCTACTCAAGGTTTGCGTAATGTCAATAAAAGCTCACAAAAATCGGTTCCTCCAGTTTCCGGTTGGTGAATGTGGCTGTTTACTCCAGCGGTGCCTCGCCAATTTTCTTCAGGTCTCGGGGACTCGCTAAGTTCATAATCTTTCTCACCAGGAGTACCAATCAAACTAAGCTAAATAGATAATCTTTCTAACCAAGAGAACAGTAATGGGTTGCCTCTTCATCAGAGCATGATCAGATACTTCCCCAGATTTCAGAACTAAAGAAGTCGCGTCACTGTCCAATTCATATTCCTGCATAGGTATTGCTGGTCAATCAACTAGCTCTTATCCACTATGAAGCTTGTCTGTTCAAACTCGTGACTACAAATTATGAAGTACCTGATTGGCTGAATTCTCAAGTAATTTTCAAGGTTGTTTTTCAAAATGCGTGACATTTACAGTTCTACCACATTATCGTCAAGGCTAAAAGAAATCCCAAAGCGCCCTTTATCCAGTCTTTCAGAAATTATTTGATGCAACGCAATCCAGCTTGAGCGTCCTTTCCTTGTCGCTACCCTGGTTTGCTTCCATTTTTTTTCTTGCTGCTTCAGTGTGCAAGCAAGGTCTGGTTGCACAGGATAAAACAAAAAAAAAAGCTAGTTATCAATTCAAAGTTCGCCAGATAGGAAATTTTGTCAGTGCTCGATAAACTTGGTGCAATGTGCGGAAAAATCCATTTGTTTACTTGTTAATTATGTATAGTGTGACGTGGTATCTCATGCCAAGGTTCTTACTGATAAAAAATTCAATGCTAACTAAAATCAGACAGGAAAAATAAAAATATTAAAATTTGAATTTTAAATGATTGAATATTATTTTTAAGTGTTTATATAAATTATCTCTTAAATATTTTTTTGGTTAACGATGTTAGTTTTTTTGAGTAATCTTAGCACACGAAATTGAAATTTATGTAACTGAGAATTTTAATTGTGAAGTTTAAGTATTTAAATGTAAAATTTAATTATTTAAGTATGAAACTGACAGTAAAAATGGCCTAGTGTAAGAGTCAAATGACTATTTAAACCTTTCAATTTTTTGAGCTGTTTGACTGTAAAGACCAAAAAAAAGGGCGGAAGGGTTTTCTGCAGGAAAGGTTACAAACCACATTTTTCACCAAAAAAATGTTGAATCATCCTCTTGACACTGACCTACTCCAACAACAACACTTCGCAAAAGGAACCCCAGTCGAGGTCAGCAGCGACGAGGAAGGCTTACAAGGCGCTTGGTACGTTGCCACAATTCTTGAATCCCCTCCCAAATTCACTTCCAAGAAACGGAAGAAGGCCCTGGTTCAGTACAGGACTTTACTCGCCGAAGATGGCTCCTCCCCTTTGACAGAACATGTCGACCCCGCTTTGATACGGCCGTTGCCACCTAATGAAAAGGAGGGTGTTCTGTCGGGGTTTGAGTTAAACGACGTCGTTGATGCGAGGTATAGAGATGGATGGTGGACTGGGGTTGTGAGAAAGGTTTTGGAAAAGTCGAAATATAGGGTTTATTTTGATAATCCACCTGACGCTATTGAGTTTGATGGGAAAGATTTGAGGGTTCATTGGAACTGGATCGATGGCAAATGGATTCGACCAGGAAAGCAGGTATGTTGCAACATGCCCGTCTTGTTTCTTTATTTATTTATGTATTTTTCAATTCCTTTTGATCTGGAATTTTGGGGTCTTATTTCGGATTTGAGAGCTCATATTTTGTATTTTTATTTTGGAGGGAAAGGGTTTGTGGGGTTCATTAATTTTTGGGAATAATTTTTTTTCGATATTGAAACTGCGGATCTCACTGCATGTAGCCTTTTTACATTGAATATTTGCTATTTCAATTATGCTTTCATAATTAGTTATAGAGGATGTTAGGGTCTTTTATTGTTTGATTTGAATAATTAACTCAAACCATATGTTTCACTTGCTATGCTCTCTTTGTTTTATCTCTGCTAATTTTGATTTCATATCTATTTTGGCCTTGGAATCATGCAAATTCGGTTGGATGCTAAAGGCAGTTATAGCTGCACGAACTTTGTAATCTTCCTGAGTCACGCATGCTGCTTGTTTAGTTTCTTTTTATTTTTAAATGTAATTGCCTTTTTCTCCGCTATGTCATACTTAACTTATGTCGTCTTTTTATATTGGTTTCTACTCTGCATCTATTTGTAAATTTCGATACATCTCTGCTGTTTTTTCAAAACTGTGCTAGCCTGTTGTCTGTCATTTTGTCATTTTTGGAATTGAGGACATTTGCAGCCTGGTTGACTTTTGGTACCATATGAGTGATTTGATTTTTAATTTTATTCTGTTAAAGCAATCAACAGGCTCCATTTTTAGCTCAGGGACAACTGTGGAGGTAAATATTGACAAAGAAAACTTACGTGATGTTTGGCTCCCTGCAATAGTAATAAAAGAAAATGAGGAGAATACTTTCTTGGTGAAGTATCAGAGCTCTAGGAATGATGATGAGTCTGGGACAGTAAAAGTTGTTGTAGATTCTCTCCACATCAGACCCACTCCTCCTCGTTATGCAGATAGAAATTATGAATTGCTGGAAAGAGTCGATACAATATATAATTTTGGTTGGCGAAGTGGAGTAATTACCAAAGTTCTTACCGGAAGAAGGTACAATGTCTTTTTTAAGCATGGAAATGAGGACAAGGAACTCAGTCACTCTGATTTGAGGCCTAACATTGAGTGGATTGATGGCAAATGGGTTAGTAATTCCAAGGTACCTCTCCCTTTATCTCTTCCTTTTGGATGATAAATTTCTTTTTCAGATTATTTTTCCACTTTGAAACTAATGAGCTGTTTATGTTGTGTTTGTGGTATCGAACATGGGTCCAATTCATACCTTTTACTTTTATCTTAAAAGGAGAAGGAAATAACAATTTGTGATAGTGCTTTTTGACTGTGTCTAGGTTGATTTGTGTTCATTTCAGTGATAGCCTTCTCTATATTTCCAGTTTGAAAAATGCTTAGTTTTTATGTCTTATCTCCTATTCTACTCTTATTTCAACTTTCGTTAGATGGATATGTTGAACTAGTTGTGGATTATACATTTCACTTTGCTTTAAAATCTGCTCAGTTTTACAAGTAACTAGTTGGTGTGTTGAATGCCTTAAATGTTGTACTAGTTCTGCCATCACCTAGACTTCCTTTGGTGGTTTGAGAATACTTCCTTGTGATTATTTCAGAAATTTAGTGGCATGCAAGTGCAGATGTCATTCATTTATTGGTAGCTTAAGCAATAGGCTTTTGTTTCAGCAAGTCTTAATTGCTTCTGACGAGCACGAGCAGATAGGAAATGCTCTCGCTGGTACCCACAACACCGAGGTGGCTGGTGAACTTGAACATTCCTTTTCCACAAAGGATAACACTGAAGATAAGACTCCTTCGACAAAGATAAGTGAGAATATTATGGAGCAGCCAACTTCCACTGATGAAAACAATGCTTTACTCCCAAGCAAGAAGAGGATCAATCTGGAAACATCAAATGGTAACACTTCCCGCACACGGCCTTTGAACAAGTTAACTGAAGAAAATGCAGTGGAGATGCGATTATCAGTCACAGATGATCAGTTAAAAGATATGCCTAATGAAATATCATGTGAAGAAGGCACTCCAAGGACTGGAGGTACTGCAACAAGACACACGAAGAAAATGGTGATTAGTGATCAGTCTTGTTCTAAGAGTGAAAGCCTCTTAACCGTAGCCACAACTGTGAGTTAGATTTCTTCTTTTGGAGTTTCATTATTCATATTATCACCATCAGATCATTTTCATTTCCTTCTTTGTTTTCTTTTGGATATGTTAATACATTCCTATTCGATGATGAGAAATGTATAAATATCACTTTAAAATCCTGTGTACTACTTTACTACTCTGTAGTTTCTGTTTTGTGTCCCTGAGTTGCCTTTCCTTTGAAGCACATAGCTGCTAACACTTCAGTGTGTTAGAGTATGTTTTGTTCTAAAATATGCTAGAAAATCATGTTTGCATTCAAGTATAACCTGCAAAAGGTTTACACAAAGAAGAAGTAAAAACTAGCTTGCCCCTTTAGAATCATGCTAACTAAAAACAATCATATCTACATGAATATCATCAAAATTTGGCCTGCTTGACATAGTTGATCCTGCTCAATGGGTTGTTTCCAAGTGTTAAACAAAGTTGTTTTTCAACTGGGATATTCACTGTGCCCTACTTGCTTTGCAGCAAACTGCTTCGAATGACTGCCTTTTCTGTCAACATCACCGTTCTAACTGGGTAATGAGGCTTAATTATTGTCACTTTGTTTTTGCTGGCTCCATCAGCCAATATTATCAGCATTCTCTACTTCTCTCATTTGACCTACATTTCCCCTTACTAATGCAGACGACTAAGAGGCAGAAAGTTGGTTCAGTAGACAGTAAAACAAATAACCTTGTGAAAAGGAATGTAAGGGCTAGAAAGTCACCAAGTAAAGGCCCACAGGTTTCGACTGCAGGTAAATATAGCCATTGTTACATGTGCACCGGTTTGATATATTGTTTAAAGTAATGAGTATTACATATTTTTAGGCAATGAGGGAACTACAGGGATTGCAGAAGAAATCAATGGAGAGGTTAAAACAAAAGAAGTTGAACTGCCTATCATCTTAGGATTAACAGCAAAGTTCACAAAGACTTTACGGGCTGAAAATTCTTTTCAGATTCCTAATGAGGAATCTCTGAAGCTAATGGAAAAGAATAATGTAAATGATTCAGTCCAAAATGAGAACATGGTAAGCAAAATTCTTAATAGTCTCTGGCTGAGAGAAAACTGCCAATATATTCTATTAAATTCGAAATGGCTTAAATTCTTAATGGGAACAAAGTGTGTCATTAAACTGTTGCAAGTGCTTAATCTTGACCTATATTTCTTTTACCTTCTCATGATCATAAGTATGTAGCACTTGTGGTCAAGTTTAAGGTGTGCAGAACTATATTTGTGTCAAACTTTCAACTTCTGGGATATCATTTCTCAAATGCTTATAGAAGTTGAGCAACTTTGCCATAATGTGCTATGTTATACATTACAAATTGTTTTTCCTGTACGCTTTGTCATTGTTCCTATAACCTATTGTGAACCCCTGAAATGTAAATGATGTCACATCCTCTTTCCTGCTACCCACTCCTTAAAAAAAAAAAAGGAGTTCATCTTTTGATATTGTTTTCTTGTGAGAAAAGCATGTTGTTGTGCTACTCGTATTTGAAACACTTAATACAAAGAATAAAATTATATCTAATGTTATTGTTTTACAATTAATGCATAATTAACTAGTTAATTGTTTGATTGTCGTCAGCTCATTTTGCTAAAATTTTCTATTTTCTTGAGCCTGCTCCACGGTCTGTGTCTTCATCTTAATATGTTATCTAACATATATATATATATATATATATGTATATATAAATGTATATGTATATGTATATACATATACATAAACATATGTACCTTTAGTAGTTCTTTTAACTGTTGATTTTACTGATATAGGAAATAGAGGAGCATAAAGTTGGAGTAAGCAATCAGAAAAGAAAGAGGGGAAGACCATGTAAATCACGTAAATCACGAAAATCAGTAGTTACAAGTCCAGAGGCTTTTGAAGCTGGTATATGATAAATAAGCTTCACCCTTTTTATGGGTATATGTAAATCTGTGTCTATGCAAAATTAGTATTATGATTTGTAGGTAAGGAGCAAAATGGGGCTGGAGGTATTACTGATGAAAAAGCTGTAAAAGATTGTATGAGTGATGAAGCTGATTTGTCAATACATAAAGGGGTGGAGCTGGCAGGTACATGGGGGTCTCAACTCTTGGTTTGTCAATGTTACTGATATGCCTGAAGGAAAGTATAAAACTGCTATATAAGGCTTCTCGGAAGCATTGGGGTGAACACTTACAATGTTATAACCCAAGTGTAGCAGTTATCATCTTCTTAAATGATTTTTCCAAGTGGTATACTAATTTATGGAAGAATACTAGGTGTAATGGGGGCAATTACCTGGAAAAAAGATTGGGCTAGTGATTCACAAGAAAGAAGGTGAAATTTCTGTTGCATGGGGGTGGGGGAGGGAGGCTGATGTTCGGAGGAAAGATTATGCATGTTACCGACCACTTTTTTCTCATTTATTATGCTGTCTTTTACCTGACGTAGATGTAGTCCGAGTATCCATTAGTCTTTTCTAGTTTATGGTTAATCTCCTTATAAATGGTAAATTAACATTCTATTGTTAAATGTATTCTCAAGATGCATTTAGAGGAAGGACAAGTGATGATTACAAAACAAAAGAGGTTCAGTTGGCGATTGTTGGGATTCCCAGCATGTCTGATGAAGATCAACCTCTATCAACTTGGATAGGAGGAATCCACTCTTCAGGTGATGAAGAATCAAGTAAGCTGCTTCATCAGATTTATGAATCCTCATTTTCTTTTGTCGTTCATTTCCTCTCTCTCTCTCTCTTGCTTGCTTAGTGGGTACATAAATGTAGATCATCACTTGGCTTTTATATTTATGACATTTTTTAGTGTTTGTTTTCTTCTAGGACTTTCCTCTGGTAGGCTTTTCAATGGATGGAATGAGGAAAGAGGACTGGTTGATGTTCCTGTAGAATCTTTTGTAATTGATGTCAGAGGTGGAAGTCCATTGGATGAGGATCGGAGTTTGCCTTTTGTGAAGAAATCACCTGTTTGGCGAACAATTGAATCTTTGGATGTCTTCCACGTTGTGCCCCAACAACCGCATTTTCAACCTCTGGCTGAAAACAAAGAGGAGTTTCGTGAAGGATCAGCAATTGGTATCATGGTAACCTTTGCCAGTTTGTTCGAGAAGATATCCATGTTGCATTTTGATGATCCTGGAAGTACATTTGACAGCATTTTGGAAAGTCTTAATGACTTGGAAAAGCACGGATTTGATGTTATATTGCTTCGACATCGCGTGAGTGAATTACAGTCAATCAAAGAAGGACAAGACCAGCATCTAGGGGAAAGAAAAAATGCTGAAAGGGAGATAATTGAGTATACAAGGGAGATAAGTAAATTTGATGAAGAGATGGAAGAGATTGAAAAGAAGATTATTCAGTTACAAGAACGACATACTGTAATAAAGTCAGAGAAGGAGATTAAGAATCTTAAGATTGGTAGCTTGAAGCTGCACGTTGATGTTCTAAACGAACTTATTCAGAATGACTCACGTGATTTTAAAAAATTAGCTACTGCCCCTTGGAAGTTGCCATGATTGAGGGTACGCTACTCATGGCTACTTATTCATAATGCTGAGACTCCTGCACCACAGGTGATTATTGTTGTTCTTAAATATGCGGATTCAACTGTTGTGTTTAGGGTAGGTCAGTAGGGTCATTTTGATTCTTAGATTTGATCATCCGAATGTTTTAGTTGTTTCATGCACGTAGCTTACATCTTCGGAGTCATGTATGTTAAGTAATGGGTCTTATTGAGTCAAAATATGGACCTGCTTCCCTAGAATAGAAATACTAAAAATGTGAAACACTTACTTTTGTGGAAACCTTTATTGATGCCCTTTTAATAGATTTTTGACATATTGCTGCTCCACCGACACTCACAGAAGTGAAGCTTTTTCACCCATGATGTGAGTACTTTAATTTTTTCTTTTACTACTTGTGATTCTGGTGAATCGCAGATGATTGGATTCCTGAGGCTGGAGGGAATTGGACTCCAGTTTTATGTGATGTTATTACCATGTAAACATAATAATAATAATAAAGGGGGTTCCTGAGAGCTCGGGTTGCTTTCTGGAGTGTGAGAGATGAGTATTGGGCTTGAGGTTTTCATGTTCTATTTTTTATTAACGTATATATATTTCGTCTCGTTAGCATCTTATTTTGAATTTCAATGAATATATGCAAGTGTTGAATTTTACCAAGAAGGCAAAGGCAAAATCTGATAAAGGAATAGACCAAGTTATGATCCCAAATACTGTTTCACGATTTTTTCTTTTTTTTGGTGTATAAGAGGACAAATGCTCGTGCTAGGGGGAAGAGGATTACGGGAATAAAATCTATGTTCACATGTTTTTTTTTTAATCTTTTAATCACTAGATGACAGTTTTGGCTATTTTAATATTTTATATAATATAAATATATGAATTGATAAATTTAATAATAGTCTTTAGGAAGCAAGTATTGACAAAGACTTTACAAATAAATAATGAAAAATCAATTAAAGAACCAACAACTAATACCAACAAACCATAAACAACTAGACTAATTAAAACATGGAATAAGTTGGATTTCTCCCCCTCGCTCTTCTAACCAACTATACTGAATCAATTATACATTATTATAGACGGTGCATTTATGGGATTACCTTATCAAATATATAAAGTAAATGCACATCACTGATGAGGATAAATACATAGATTGATTATGACAACCAAAATTTTCAACAGCCGATTTAATTTTATTGATGAAGGGTTAAATTTTTAATTTTAATGATTAAAGTTTAATAAAAACACGTAAAAGTAATTAAGGGATCTGCCAACTCCGCCTTGTTACCATGGGGGAGTAGCTAGGCAGGTAAAACCAATGTCGTGGGATTAGACGGGGGTGGCGGAGGCAGAAGAGTCACTTTCTTTGGCTGGCAGGTATCATTGAAACGGTGGGCACCAAAGAGGCTGCTAGCAAGCGACCCAAACGAGGCAGCAATTAATTTCATATTGATGTTTTCATTGACGGCATAACCTAAACACACCAGCGAACAGCGCAGCGGACTTATGACGTTTTTATGCGGGTAAAAATTTTGATTCCTCAAAACATTTATGAAAAAAAAAAAATCCCTTCAAAACATTCCTACATTTTGATTCTTCTTTTCCAAAATAAAACTTTTTTTTTGTCTTTTAATCATGTTAATCGATCATTAATCAACAAATGTGAAAAAATATAATTATTTTAAATAATTGATAGAAAACTTTATAAAATTTAATTAAAATAAAAATATTTTTCATTTAAATTTATCAATTTAACCAAACAAATTAGATATATTTTTTAATTTATATTTATATTTTTCTTTTAATTTAATCAGAATAATGATTTCATTTAAATTTAAATTTTATTTTTAAACTTATAAGTATTTTGATTGTTAAAAAAATAAGTAATTAATTTCTTTTTTAATTATGGATTTTTTTTATTTGCTTATGAGTTGATAAATTTGAATATAAATATTATAAAAATGTTTTCATCGTTATATAATTAGTTTTTTATTTTTTTACTTATAATTATTTAAATATAATTATGTCTTTTCATATTTATATTGACTAACGATTACCTAACAGCACATTGATCAAAGGATAAAAAAAACATTTTGAAATAGGATAGATCAAAATGTCTATTAAAGCATATAGAGTGATTTTTTAGATTATTTATAAAATATTAAAATTTATATTGATATAAAATATAAAATATATTTTTAATATTATTATTAAAATTTTAAATTATATTATTTTAATATTATATTCATATTATCTTATCTAAATTATCAAATTCGAAGGGAACAAAGATTGGGCTGCGCATTTCACTTTCCATGTTCATCGTCAATCTGTGTCAAATTGTCATCAGTCGTGTCAGATCACAACTACTCTGATCCAAAAATGTTGAAAGCAATTGGTTAACCGACCGTAAAACTGAAAATTTGAATCATGATAGAATAATATAAAAATTATATGAATAAAAATTATATTTTATATTTTTTATCTATAAAATTATAATATATAATTTTTATATAAAATATAATATAAATATAATATTTTATAAGATATGATAATACAAATTATTAAATTTACCGACGGTCATAGAGGTGTCTATGCGTCACAACTCAGTATTGATGGCGTAACCAATATTTTTTCAATAAATTGATATTATAATCATTTTTACATATTTAAAAACGGTTTTATTAATTGTTTCATTATTAATATTATCAAATAATATTTCAACATTCTTAATCAAATAAATTATCAAATTATTTCTTACTCCAATATGCATTAGATTCATCACTGTTTTCATTGTTGAAAAAATATTTTGTTTTTTGTATTTACATTTATAATTGACAAAATAAAACTAATTTTAGTATCATTGATTGTGAATCAATATTGAATTTTATCATTGTATTTAAATTTCATTAAATCATCACTATATTTTTATTTTTGTTCATTTTTAAACATAAAAATAATGAAATTGACGAAATTTTATAATTTGCATTAACATAATATTTTGTATAATATTTTTTTTTTTTCAAAAAAATCAATGAAATTGAAAAAAGAGTAGTAAAATTTATGGTGTACATAAACAAAATATTTTGTGAAATAATCCAATTTAATTTTTTTTGTTTCAAAATAACAAAATTAAAAGTATAATATAAATTTTAAATACAATGACAAAATTCAAATTAAATTCATAGTATAATGATAGAATTCACTTTAAGTCTAAAAAATAATGGATAATTAAATTATATATTTTTCATTAACTTTTTAAGAACAAAAATCAAATATGTGATTTTTACTTTTCATTAACTGTACATTTATCTTCAAATTTCTTCTTTAATTGAGTAAATCGATAAATTGTCCTAAATTAATAGCATATAAAAAGGTATAATCGAATTGAATATGATTATATTTGTAATATGTTCATTTAATTAATAAATTATAAATATTATTTATGATTATTTGTTAGGTTTAATAAATGAATATAAATAAACAAAAATCGAATATATTCACAAAATATTCATCAAATACTCTATTAATTTTCACGAATAATCTAAATATGGATGAAATTTTTTATATTCGTAATTTATTCATTTAATTAACAAATTTTAAAATATTATTCATGATCATTCATTAAAATTAACAAATAAATATAAACGAAAAGAAATCAAACATATTTATAAATTGTTCATCAAACATTATTATTTATTATTTTAAAATTTAAATTTCGGTGGAGTACTTTAGCGATGCCCCTAATTATTAAGGGAGTGTTTGATTTTGAGGAATCCATATATTTTTTCTCAAAATTTTATTATTGGGTATTTGATTCTAATATTTAGTTAAGGTAATTTGATTTAGAGATAAATTGACAGATTTTTAATAGTACGTAAAGTCTCATAATAAAAAACTCACATCTCATTATGGTATTCTAGGATTCCAAAAGAGAAATTTGCATTATTTTCAAATTTAATTTAAATAAAAAATTATAAAATAACCGTTACTATTTTAAAATGTATGTCTGGAAGTGACTAAAAATTAATTGTAGATTTATAATACTAAAAATTTTTTATATTACAATTAATGACGTTTGATATAAAAATACCTTAAATAATCATGTTCAATTTTTTTAAGGATTATTTAAGATGTTTTCTAACTAAAAATACCTTAAATAATCTTATTCAATTTTTAGGTTTTTTATCAAAAAATACCTTAAATAATCATAAAAAAATTAAATGAGATTATTTAAGTTGTTTTCTGCTAGAAAAACGTCTTAAATAATCCTTTTAAAAAATCTGATTATTATTATTTAAGACGTTTATTATCGAAAATATTTTAAATAATCCCTAAAAAAAATAAGTAATCCCCAAAAATAAAATACTAAAGGAATTGGTCAAACCTATGACTTTATGATTAATAGTTATATGTTCTAACCAACTGAGATACTTTAATTTTTTATATTTATATTTTAAATCTTATAAGTAATGAAACTAATTATTTAAAGTATTTTTAATAAAAAAAGCATTAAACAATCATCTTAAAAAATATTAAAGCATTAAAAAAAAATCGAACTCACAACCTTATAATTAATTCATATACTCTAATGCGTTTTAAGTAAAAAAGCTTTAAATTATATGGTCAAAAAAAGTGAAGGTTATTATTTAAGATATTTTTTACAAAAAATATCTTAAATAATCTATTTTAAAAAATATTTAAGCAAAAATACCTTAAATAATCTCCTTTAAAATAATATTAGAGATTATTTAAGGTATTTTTGGACCAAAAATATTTTAAATAATCCATTTAAAAAAAAAATTATTTAAGACGTTTTTCAACAAAAAAAAAGTCTTAAATAATCCATAATATTTTTTTGTCGATGATATTTTGTAAATAAAAACAACAATTAAATAAAATATTTGTGTTATTTTGTTGTTGAAGGTATTATATGTCATTTGTGTATTTATTATTAATAAAAATTTATCATCATATATGTTAAAGAAATTATAATAATTATTTAAGAATTAATATATGTGAATTATCTATAACAAAACAAGTGAATTTAAACATGACATACCTTGAAATTAAAAAAAAACTTCAGGTATTGCACTTTCTCATATATCACACTTTTTCTTGAAATATAATATTTTGCAATCAAATGTCCCCTAAAGGTGATAACAGTTTTGATGAGATGACTCGGTTCGATTTTTTTTTATATTGCATAATATTATAAAATTTTAAAATCTGATCCGAATTTGAATCAAAATAAATTTTACTGAATCGGTTCGATTAAATTTATTGATTTTTAAATTTATTGATTTTATTTTATATATTATTTTAATATAAAATTTTAATATATTTAAGTAAATTTTGATATAAAAATAATTTTATTTTATACAAATTAAGAAATATATATAATTTGTTTCAATTCGAATTTTTTTTATTTTTTATCTTTCGATCAAATTAATATACATATTTAATATCTAAATTTAATTCAAATCAAATAAAAAAATTAATCTAAACTAAATCAAATATTATGATTTTAAATTAATTTTTGATTTTCTCAATTTCATTTTTTACCGCTACTTACCACAAGAGTCCATGCCATTTAAATTATCAGGAAATTAAAGCCTTTCCCTTCAATCTGGACCATCGATTTTTTTTTTTTTTGGATAATCTTGTCAAGGAGAGCAAGCCCATGGCTTTAGTAACATGGGACACTGCCCACCCATAAACGGGTGGGTGAACCAGCTTGCGCGCGTGAATTAATTGCTTTCCTTCTCTCTCTTTTTTAGAGGGTTTCCCTAAATGGAAGTGCAACCATATGCGTGTTTCCCCTGTTAAGAGATCGAAGATTATAACGTGAAATCTCAGCTTAACTTCTGCTAGAGCTATGAATGTTAAAATTAGTAAATCTAATAATTCATATACTTATATCATATAAAAATTTAAAATATATATTTATATTATATTGTATATAAAAATAACGAGTTAAAATTTATATTGATAAAAAAATATAAAATATTTTTTAATTTTATTAAATATATATAATTATATCTAAAATTTTAAATTAAATTATTTTTATATTTTTTATAAATAATATATTTATATCATATTATCATATTATATTTTAAATTATTAATTTTAAAATTTAGATATCGATCCATAGTAAGGATATCTTCAATGCATAAACTATATGGGACAATGGGATCCACAAACTTAATTCGCCATTGAAGATTGCTTTCGATCGAATTATTTTACTTCTTAATGGCTTAGCCTGTTCCACACCTTAAACTCATTTCCCCCACCTTAATCAGCTTTTGTAGACAGCTCCGTCTCACAGCTGGTGGTTATGAGTTTTTTCCATGATTAATGTTTTTTTGTTTAATTAAAAAAAAAAGAAAGAAAGAAAACACTGTCCATATATCATATATGTACAATATCAATCTGAGGTGACAAGCTACTGTCCTTAAGAGTTGAAAATCATGAACGCCAACAACGCTATCTAAGTGTGGGCCAATGGGTGAGGCCTAACTACGGTTAGGCTTCTTTTTGCAGGCACCGAATTATTCCTAATGACCTCGACTGTCCGCCCTTATCTGTAAAAGAAACAAAAAAAAACTCACTAAATTATTGAAAAAAAATTATTAAATTAAATATTTAGATCCAATAGCATTCATTATTGTGAAATTACTCATTTATTTATATTTTGCTATAAAAAATATTTATGTAAATATAAAAAAGTGAGTTGATTATATTTTTAGCATGAGTTCTGACAAAACTGTACAAATTGTCTTAAAAAATTAAATATAAGAATTTTAGTCTAAACTTTTAAATAATATATTATTTTAATTCAAATTCTAATATTTTTAACTTAATTCACTTATAATATATTTAATCAATATAATTTTGTTATACACATATTATTTGTTAAATAAAAATGCTAAATATTTTGTAAAAATTTTTATGTGAATATCACATGACAAAAAATAATTGATTGATTTTAGACAATTTTAACAATTAAAATAAAAAATATTGTATTTTTAATTTATATTAAAAAATATTGAAAGTATGTATGATGAATATAGAATTTGATAATATTAGTTAAAAGTCATATATATAAGCTATATAGTTATTGAGATTAAAGTTTGGATTAATGTAATATATAATTTGAAAATTCATGTATAAATCATACGTTATTTAAAAATTTAAGATTTCAATTACATATTTATTTTTTAAATATTAGTTTATACTCTTTCTGTCTCTAATTTTTTGTTCACTTTTTTTTTGGATGTCTCAAAATTATATTTTATATTTTTGAACATTTAAAAACTTTATTTTTTATATTTTAAAATTATATTTTTAAAATTTTTTATTTTTTGATATTAAAAATTAGGAAATTTTAATTTTATAAAAAATTTAAAATTAAATATTAAATATATTAGAATCAAAGTTTTTTTTTTTTTTTTTCTAAATCCATAAAAAATAATATATGATAAATATTTTAAGATGGAGAGAATATGTAAGTAATTGACTTGAAAAACTTTCCTGAAGAAAATTCACTCACCCAATTAAGAAAGTGGAAAAGCTCGAGGACGTAATGAAAACATATTCAAGAAATTATGGCCCTTTCCCCGCTGTTTCCTAACATTAACATAGCGTGGTAATAATGCTAAGACTAAATAAACTTTCACAAGTGTAAGATTTTCCAGTTCTGCTGTTATTTTGGCGGAGAAGAAAAACCAAAATTTCCGTGAAGAATTCAAGCAAAAGGTGCAATAAATGTTAGCAATTAATGAAGGTACCAACACTACTGCCCGCCTGTTTCGACAAATACATTAACAACGGCCCTGAAACTGGCTTCCCTCTCTCCTTTCCTACCCTTAAATTCATGACACTTCTCGCAGGGTTTCATGATTTCACTTTGTAAGCAACATCCTTTCCTTCTTTGCTTTCCTCGTAAACTCTCGGGTATCTTCACTTTCTTGTAAGCAGCAGTTTCTGGTTTTTGTTTTTTTTTTTTTTGTTTGCTTTGTTCTCAACGGTTTTCTAACGGTTGGTTAATTTGCTTTTGGGTCATGATATATGTTAGTGTCCACTTGATTTTCATGTTTTAATTTCTGTCAGCAGGTGAAAGTTTTAGAAGTGAATTTAGTGCATGTTAGTTTGATTCCCATATATTTTTTGTCCAAATTGTTTAGCACCATTAATGACTTTTAATTTTCTTTTATAGATATTTGTCATTTACCTTACTGAAATGCTATTGATGAACTTTATTGGGAGCGAAGATTTGATTCCTTATTTTCCTTTTCATTGACCTGTTAGCTCAATGTTTGTTGCTGTATGTTGAACTATACTTGGTTTTTTTTTTTTTTTTGGACTTTTGGAAGCCTCTTTATGTACTAAGAGTTTTCCCTGCACAGGTTCTGTATAGGAAATAATGAAGGTCTTTTCTGCTAAGGTGGAAGATGGAAGAGAAGGACAAGATGGGAAGCCATCCATTGGTCCCGTATATCGTAACCTACTAGCCAAGAATGGATATCCTTCACCTGATCATGATATGTCTACTGCTTGGACTCTTTTCAGGTAACTGTTTATGTTGCACTATTGTTTGGAATTATTATTATTATTATTATCAAGTCTCTTTCATATGGATTTCAGCTACTTGTTCTATTGATACAACCTGATAAAACAGAATTATGCTTAATATTTTCCATTAAATTTGTCATATGCTAGATTTTAAAGATGAAGGAAAAGCTATGTTACTGTTACATTAACAACTCGAGGCAAATTCCTAAAAAGAAAAAAGAAAAAAAAAAAGAAAAACATCTCAAGGCAATGAAATGATACTGGATGATATTAAAAAATACCTGCAGGAAGGCCTTATCTAGTATGTGATTAGACTAATACAGTTGCAAGCTCACTTAGTGGTAACTTTGACCTAGATTATCCTTGCACAAACTAAGTATCTTAGCATACTAGAAATTTTCTTTTCTTTTTGACAACAGTAAGGATCTTACTGTGCAGTTCATCCGTTCAGAAGCACCCTGGAAACAGGATGCTTGGATGGCGAAATATTGTTGATGGGAAGGTAAAATTAATGTTCAAAAGAAGATTTCAGTATTTGTACCAGATTTCGCACTAGTTGCTTTTTGACTTTGTTTATTCTTTAGGTGGGCCCTTATATCTGGAAAACATACAAGGAAGTTTATGATGAAATTCTGCACATTGGTTCTGCATTGCGAGCATCTGGTGCTGAACCTGTAAGCATAAATATGTCTATTTTCTGAGGCCTTGTAATTATTAAGGGAAATTTTGAAACAAAGGGATTTCAGTTTGTACTCTGATCTTTTCTCTCTACTGTTTTATTTACATACGTGTGGCAGGGATGTCGGGTTGGGATTTATGGAGCAAACTGCCCGCAGTGGATTATGGCGATGGAGGTATGCTTTCAGACTTTCTGTGTGAAGTGTTTTACTGAAGTTTTTAAGTAATAAGTCTGCTTTTTCCGTCCTCATGGGTATCCTGACGGCTATTATATCAAATATGAGAATCTTTTTAAAAGTAGTGCGCTTGCAAGTGTCCTTTAGGCACTCCTTAGAACGGCTCCATAACTTTTATCCTTTTCCAATTTTTGTAGGCCTGCGGTGCCCACAGTTTGGTTTGTGTGCCTCTCTATGATACACTGGGTAACTGCCTCTTGAGAAATTTCCTTCTTTTGGAGCAAATTTTATCACCTCTTTCTGCTGAAGAAGCTTTTCTTTTTGCTTTTTATAATTTGATTGTTTGACATTTGAGATTCTTCATGGATCCCATTGTCTATTGCAATTGCAACAGGCAACTTTGGGGCTAACACGTACATAAGCAGTTCAAGCCCCATTATAGTGAGATCTTTTCTGCTTAATAAGTTAGTTTACCTAGAAGCTTAGTTGATATTTGCTGAAGGTATCTCAACACTTGCATAAATTTAAGTACCGAAAAAAAGATATTTGCGGAAGGTGTTTCCATCACACATGATGATGTACATACATTTTGAACCATCAGGATGACTGGCAGGTTCCTCTCCCCTGCTATTTGTGGGTTTCACTGTTGATTTGAATAGTATAGAATATTCAACTCCTTTTGCACTCTAGTCCAGATGATACAATTGAACTAAACAGCATTCTGCTTGATAGCAACATCAATCAGTGTATTGCTAGGCGTGCTGCCACATGTTTTTCTGAGATTAGTCCTACATAATTCAGTTCCTTGATTGAAGAGCATCCACAGCGTAATCTTAGGATTCATCTTCTTGTAACTTGTGTGCAGGGCCTGGAGCTGTAAATTTTATTATAGATCATGCAGAGGTTGATTTTGTATTTGTACAAGACAAAAAAGTAAAAGAAGTAAGGTTTAGGTTTAACTAATGCCCTTTTCCATATTATTCCCCAGTTTCACAATCAACATTCTGATGTTGCACGTGCCTTTACAGCTTTTGAATCCAAATTGTTCGTCTGCTCAGCGGTTGAAAGGTGAAAAATGACTAGATAAAACTTTAGTTTGCTGGAACTGCTAGAAGGCACTGTACTGAGTTTTATTCTGGTTGCAGCAATGGTTTGCTTCACCTCATTGACCGAGGAAGACAATGCTAAGGCGTCTCAGATGGGGATTAAGACATACTCATGGACCGAGTTTCTCCACATGGTTAGGTTTCGCTCAATTTCTATATTCTGAGAGAGAGAGAGATTAATTCAACTTCCAATAAAATAAAATTTTCTTGTTCATTTTCATTTTGGGTTTGGTATGTTTTGTGACTGTTTACTCCATCCTATAACTTTCTTGTCCTATTATAGTAAGCAATGCTCAAAATTTAAATCGCATTATGGAAAACCTATGTAGAAGTACCATGGTTTTCCAAATTTTAGTCTGCTTAGATGTGAATTTCAGTAGAAATTGTAACAACTATTCCTCTATTTGACATTTTGATTTTGCATCAAAATCTATCATATTAAGATCTGATGAAACTCATTTTCACCTTTTTAAATGTTGCAACTTTTTTCATGCCATTTTTTTCCTTTCTGAAATACGTTATTACTTTTTTTTTGAAATACTATGTTAACCTTTGAGCATATTTTTTCATCAGGGAAAGGAAAATCCACAAGAGATTTCACCACCTCAACCATTTAACATTTGCACAATTATGTATACAAGTGGCACCAGTGGAGATCCTAAAGGTGTTGTGTTAACACATGAAACAATTGCAATATTTGTACACGGCATTGATCTTTTCTTGGATCAATTTGAGGACAAGGTATACTTAATCCTTGAATTTCACATAGACAATCTCTACAGATATGATTCTTCTCCTGTTGTTCAAGTACCACCAGAGTAATCTTTCTTGCTAATACTTACTTCGTGTTAAAACAGAACTGGGATTTCAAGTGTGCTTTTTGTACAAGTATAATGTTGGTTCACCTTCCTGATATATCCTTTTGTTAAGCAGATGACAGTGGATGACGTGTATTTGTCCTTCCTGCCCCTTGCTCATATCCTTGATCGCATGATTGAGGAATATTTTTTCCATAAAGGAGCATCTGTTGGCTACTATCATGGGGTATGCTGCTGAAACTCTGTTTCTTAAACATATCAGGAACTCTTTTGGGTCCCCAGTTACATGTCAAAGAATAGATAAGAGGGGAGAAAAGGGATTGGAAATGAAAAACATAGTATTCTCATGTTTGGTTGAGGAAATGTAAAAGCAAGAGGGGGATGAAGGTGGGGACGCTCCTGTCATGCACCCCCTAGGGAAGAGGGGGTGTATGTGTGTTAAGGAAGTTATGAACTTGTAATATTAATGAAGTGAAAGTCTTGTCAGGACGTCAACACTATGGAATGGTGCTTATTATGCCATATCCAGAGGCATGGTGATGATTGGATAGATAAACATAAGGTCAGAGAAAGGAGGAAAAAGAGAAAATGCGGAAGTGATTGTCTGTGTCCACAAACCGAAAGTTCACTTATGATTTTCCTTATTAAGTCAAATGTGCTTGATTAGTCATAATTTTTGTTCAAATCCATTATTAAATATTGATCATAACTTATTTTCAAAAAATGTTTGTTCCTATAGAACTTGAAGGAACTGCGAGATGACATAATGGAGTTGAAACCAACATTTCTAGCTGGTGTACCCCGAGTTTATGATATGATTCATGAAGGCAAATCATTGACAAACCTTTATCTGCTGATTGATTTTAAGTGACAATGATTCACTCATCAAAGTTAATATATTTTTTAGGTATTAAAAAAGCACTACAAGAACTCAGACCTTTGAGGAGGTGGATTTTTGATGCTCTCTACAATTAGTAAGACAGTGCTCCATCCAAATAGTAACTCAGTCCCCTGTGGTAGAAGTTCATATAGAATAACCATGATGCTGATGCATGCTTGCTTCGTTTGCAGCAAACTTTCTTGGATGAAGCGAGGGTATAAACATAAATATGCATCACCTTTAGCAGATTTGTTGGCCTTCAGAAAGGTAGTGTCTTATCTCCTTTAAAAACTTATCTTCTAAACAGAAAATTACCATGCATCTATGTTCAAAATTGTCGAACCTTGATTAATGGGTCTAGATCCTATAAAGACTGGTTCATCGAGTTTGCATTATTCAAAATGGCTGTAAATTTTCAGTGCTACTTTATATTTGGCTTTAGAATTCTGGAGACTGATCCAAACCAAGCTAATTCTCCTTGAAAAGTGTATTTTTTAAGTTTTGGGGAAAATAAACTCTCCGCTATCTAACGTACTGTCATCTTTCTTTTCCATTTCACAAGGTCAAAGCTAAGTTAGGAGGTCGGATTCGATTGTTATTATCTGGAGGTGCACCATTGAGCTCTGAAGTAGAAGAATTCCTGCGGGTCACTTGTTGTGCCTTTGTTGTCCAAGGCTATGGTAAATTCCTGCCTATAGAAGTATAGAAAAAAAAAAAGAACAGGCTATCAAGGTTCTATTAAAACGGGGGAAAGAACAAGGAAAGAAATGAATGTGTTGGTTGGCAGAAAGTGTAAATTCTGCTGCAGTTCCTAGCATTTTTTTGAAGAAAATAAATTATTATGATGACTTTTTTCTTAATTCACCTTCAAAACAACAATTTAGCTATATCCTATAACACTTTCATGCTAAAACATCTTGGATATTTTCATTTTCCTTTCCCTATTTAAAGCATGACTGCTTATTACTGTTTGGTGCATATGTTGCCTTGACGGTTACTCTAGGCAGAATGATGATCAGATACATAATTGTTATACATTTTTTATGCCTATTGAACAATTTGCATTGCCCTTCGTATAGGATTGACAGAAACTTGTGGAGCTTGCACTATTGGTTTTCCGGATGAGATGTGCATGGTTGGTGCTGTTGGGGCCCCAGCCGTCTACAATGAGTTACGCCTAGAGGAGGTTTCAGACATGGGCTACAATCCACTCGGAAATCCTCCCTTTGGTGAGATATGCGTGAGAGGAAAGACTATTTTCTCCGAGTATTATAAAAATCCTGAACTGACAAGAGAATCTTTCAAGGATGGATGGTTTCATACAGGTTGGGCAGTTCAATTTCCTGTCAAATTCGTAAACTGAATTATCAATCACCAATCTTGCATTCTAATTTCATCATTCTTTGATACTCTCAGGAGACATAGGCCAAATGCTTCCTAATGGAGTTGTTAAGATTATTGATAGGAAGAAAAATCTTATTAAGCTCTCCCAGGGAGAGTATGTGGCACTTGAGTATTTGGAAAATGTTTATGGGTTCACTCCAATTGTTGATGATGTGAGCATCTCCTTTTATTAATTCATTAATTGTTTGCACAAGAAAGTAATTCAAAACCAAATTTCTCAATTCCATATAGAATAAATTATGTTTGAATAAATTATGTTTAGGTATGGGTCTATGGAAACAGCTTCAAGTCGATGCTAGTTGCTGTGGTTGTGCTACATGAAGAAAATGCTAAAAAGTGGGCAAACTTGAATGGTTACACAGGTTCACTCTCTGAGCTCTGTTCTCTCAGCAAGCTACAGAATTATGTCCTCTCAGAGCTAAAATCCACAGCTGAGAAAAACAAGGTAACATCTACTTAAATTCAACCTAATACTTATTGATGAAATGAAATTTTTGGGGTAAGTTCTGTTAGTTCTTTTCCTTTTACTGTTGTGTTCTGTTCATAGTGAAATTTAAAGGCACGGATTAATGGCCTTATGCAGAATCTAAAAATAATCTGCCTATCTGCTGCTGTAACAGTTGTTTGCATGCGAAAACACAAGCCTTTAATCCGAGAAACCAATAACTTTTGTGTAAGAATTCATATAGGACTACCAGAATAAGCACCCACATTGTAAAAACCAGGGTTTCATTGTTCTAGTTGAGAACTCTAACAAGAGTAGAACATTTTTTTAAATTGTCTGCGACTTCACAGAGTGCTAATAACTGTTACTCCAAAACCAAGAGGCGGCTTGGGCCGGCGAGGAGGGATGCATTGAGCAAAACCCAAAAGTCCTCTCACTTTCCTTTCATTCCATTATATGGTTGTTTATCCACTTACTGTTTGCATCTTTTGAAAGCCAGATGAGAGGTTTTGAATTTATCAAAGGAGTCATTTTGGAACCCGTGCCCTTTGACATGGAAAGAGATCTAGTGACTGCAACATTGAAGAAAAAAAGAAACAAACTGCTTAAATATTATCAGGTAATTTGCATAATTTTGGACATTATATTCTTCAAATAGTATAGGAGACTCACAAGTTATTTTACATGATATTGAACAGGCTGAAATCGATGAGCTCTACCAAAACTTGGCTGCAAAATTATGAAGCTAAAGTTATATAGCAGGAAAAAATGTTTGTTACAGGCTGTGTTGAATGCTAATGCTTAATCTATAACATTAATAATAGTTGTTAAGAACTGGTTTTCAAGTTTAATTTCAAGAGGCGCAAGCTTGATGATTTGAGGAGGAAGATGAAATGGTTCTTAGGCTTTAATGCAATCATATTCACTATTGTATGCCCAAATAAAATCTTTACTTTTGGGTGTTTTTGTGTTTATCTTTATTTGTATTAGGCTGGCTGTTCTTTGCATTTAAATTTTACTAAAAGTTTATGTAATGCGTTCACACAAATTGCTGCAATAACAGAAAAGGCCAACGGCTGATCTCCTACGTGTGTCGATTAAGTTATTGCCTGCCATGCGCATTTTGAAAAGAACCCGAATCCTTCCTCTGAAAAATTTCCGTCATCTTTGTGCACTTTCGACGGGCGATCTCGATAGCGATATCAACAATTGCCTCCAATATAACCACTTGAACGAAGCCTCAAAGCTCTTCGACCGAAACCCAAACGCCAGCAACATATTCTTGTGCAATGCAATGATCCAACCCCACCTACAAAAAGGCCGGCAGAACAGGGGCATGACCTGTTTGATGAAATGACCCTTAAAAACCCCGTTTCTTGGAACACCTCTTTTTCGGGCTTAAACAAGAGCCAAAACCCATAGGGAGTTTATAAATGCTTTATAGAAATGGGTAGGATTGGTTTGAAACCGAATTACTGCACCATTTCGATTTTAGTTAGTATGGTTTGGGGAACAGAGTTTAAGTTATTGGTGCCTCAAATTCACGCGGTTGGTGTTTGTTTGAGGCTTAATATGAGCGTGTTTGTGGGTGTGCGTTGATGAAATGGTACGCACAAGTGGGGGATATAGAGGAGTGGGGGAGAGTGTTTGATGAGATTTTGGTAAAGAATGTTGCTTGTTAGAATGCTTTGGTTTCATTATATATGGAAGTAGGGTATTTTAAGCTGGCTCGTAGGGTATTTTATAAGATGCCGGAGAGGAATATTGTTTCTTGGACTCGATTAATGGGTACATTAGGAATAAGTGGATCAACAAAGCTAGGTCTATGTTCAATAAGATGAGTGAGAAGAATATGTTTTCTGTGATGATTAATGGATATATGCGAAGTGAAAGGTTTCAGGAGGCCTTGAAGCTGTTTGTTTTAATGTTAATGTCGGAGACGAGGCATAACCAGTTAATATTTTCAAGTGTCTTGGATGCATGTGCTGGGAGTTCTTATCTTGTTACTAGCCAGCAAGTCATTCAAGCATCCTGAAGTTTGGGACACATGAGGATTTAATATTTTCGGCTTCCCTTGTTGATATGTATGCAAAATGTGGGGATATTGGGGCTGCATTTTGCATTTTCGAGTCCATGTGAAAGAAGAATTTGGTATTATGGAATTCTTTGATAGGAGGTTATGCAAGACAAGGGCTCGGAAGAAGAGCATTGGAGGAATTTGATAGAATGATTAACGGTGGTGTCGGGCCTTATCAGATTACAATTTTTTACATTTTATTATCATGCAGGGATAATGGATTGGTTGAACAAGGTTAAAAGCACTTCAACTCCATGGACCAGAAGTATGGAATACAAGCAGGGTTGGAGCATTATGCTTGTATAGTGGAGATCTATGGGAAAGCAGGTCAGCTTGATAAAGCTGAGAAATTGGTAAGGGGATGCTTTTTAAGCTTGATGTGGTTGTTTGGGGTGCATTTGCTAGAGCCTTTTATTTGCACTCAAGTTTGGAACCTCGTAAACTTGCGACTGAAGGTATTTTAAAATTGATAATGGATTATCCTGCTGTTTATTCAGCGTTCAGAAAGATACACGATGAAACAGGGACATGGAGTACTGTTACTAAATTTAGGCTCTCGGTCGGATTGAATCTCCCGTTGAAGTGAAATGAACCTATACAGCCATGCACTACATCCTTTAATACAATAAGGCTTCTTAACTTCAAATCCTTAGCCCGACTGTTTGACTATTATAGCCTGTTGGACTTGGCATCTAGATATGTATAGATGATGTCTTGATTTGCGAGGAACTGGTATTCAGATTGCGATGGCCGCCGACTCAGGGATCTAGGTTTCTATGGGGCAAAGACAAGTTAGAAAAATGAAATAGAATAAAAGGTTCTTAATTCTTGTTCTTAAATTTTAGCAACCCCTAGTGATACGAAACATTAAAATGTTTTGACATGGGCTCATTATGCACGGTTAATTTTTGGGAAATGGGACCAAACACCAGTTGACGAGAACGAGATATTATAGGTCCAAAATCATGCTCATTTCTTTTGTTTGTCCTTTTTTTTTTTTCATATCAATCGTTCGTTCAACAACTAAATAATAAATAACAGGTAAAAACAAATTTAGACCGACATGTAAATACAGAAAGATAGGGACAAACTTCCTATTCTTACGATGGTACAAGAAATTTCGGTATCTTCCAATTTGTCAACTAAAATATGGAATAACACGCAAATAGCACCATAGAAAAATTGAACTTCTTGTACGAGTGTAAGCTTCATCTTCTGTTCCTACTGTCCTCGCGATCCTTTTCCTTTTTCTTGTAAAGCTTTTCAAGGACACGCTTGGCTTCGCACTGTGGGAAGTTTTCAAGATCGTAATAATGTGGTGCTACATCAACTAACCTGCATTCATCAAAAAAGTGTATGTATCAATTAACCGGTGATCAAACAAAAATTTTAGAGACCCTTGTTAGGGTTCCTAAAATCCAGGAAGTCAGCGTTTTGTTCTTGGATGATGACACCAAGAAGAAACAATCACACTAGTGTGGCAACTACAAGAAAGGAGAGACTAACCATTCACCACGAATGTCTGTCACAGTGCGAATAAAATTCCGGCTTGTCAGGACATACTCATTGTAGATGACCCACTCTGGCTTGTGATCGAGGCAATTTGATGGATGCAAGTGCACCACCTGCAAAATAAATAATGCAACACACCTTGTTACATTCCACCCATGCACCTCCAAAATGGGAAAAAACATCACCAACAAAGAAAGCATGCTCAGGAAACAGAGAAAGGTGATATTGATACTGACTTGGTTGTCTTTAACTGTCAAGTAGTGTCCTGTGCGCTCCAGATGAGCTACCTGCATGAAATACCCAGCAAGCATAGCCTTTCTAATGTTGACATAGTAGTCACGGCTGTTGAAATCAGTGCTGCACAGCTTGAGGTTAAACCTGGCCATAATGCGCACCAGCTGTTGTCTAACATTATCAGCAGCCTTCAGCGCTCTATGGTTGATAAAATTCTCATAGCACCAAGACGAATCCTCATCTGCAGTTTTTTCAAAGATGGTAAGACTCTTTGATAAATTGTTGCTAGTAAATAAATTTGCGTAATCTTAGAGAACGGCATTAAGTACGTACCGTTTTGCTTGTAGGCATGGTAAACATTCAAAAGTGTGAGATGATCACCATCAATATGCCCAAACCTAGCTTTAGCTTCATCTGCAGCTTTTTGTGCCTCCCTAGGCCGTACAAAGCAATTGGGTACTAAAGAAAGAATTTAGTTATCACAGAACAGGCCCACGGTAGGTCAGCAGAGGCATACAGTCGAGACACCATTTGCTTCATGAGAGAATACTGAGAACTGCAACTATCTGCATCAGCACTTACTTAGAAATCCTATGGTGCATGCCAACCGGGGGGCATGGAACCCAGACAAGACAGTTGCTGATGACAACCTAAGACACGTTACAGCTTTAACTGTATCAATGCATACAAGCGTATGCATGCAAACAGTTAAACATCTAGTGTTGTGCACTAGCTCCCGTGCAAACACTATTGAGATAGGGACAATATCAACCATGATAGAGCCCCATGACAACTACCTCCTAAGACCTGACTCAACAAAATCAAAAAGCATGCCAGAAAACAAATAAAAGTACCTGAAAGCATGGCAGCAATTGAAAGAATCTCATTTGAACAGTTGAACTCGGAACTAACAACGAGCATCTTTGACATTTGAGGATCCAAGGGAAATTCACTCATTATCTCTCCCAACTTTGTTAAGTTCCCATCATCATCCAATGCTCCCAGGTAATTCAACACTTCCAACGCCCGCATCAATGTCTCTGGAGCAGGCGGATCCATAAAGTCGAAATGCACCAGATCATCAATTCCCAGTTTCTTCAAGGTGAGAACTGTATTTGCAAGGTTTGATCGTAATATTTCAGGATAAGTCTGCGGCTGCAGATCATTATTAAAACTCTTCTCAGTGTAGAGCCTGAAACATTTGCCAGGTTGAGTTCTTCCAGCACGTCCAGATCTTTGGTGGGCACTTGCCTTCGATATCGGAGATACCAGTAAGGACTCAACACGCACTCGTGGGTTATAAACTTTTTGTTTAGAAAACCCAGGGTCAATAACATATACAATGCCATCAATGGTCAAGGAAGTTTCAGCAATGTTGGTTGACACCACAATCTTCCTTCCAGGAGGGCCATCCTCCTTCAAAGGAGGTGGAGCAGGTTCAAAAATCTTTTGCTGCATTGCTGGTGGAAGAGTTGAATATAAAGGCACTACTTTAACAGGTCCTACTTGATCCCCCATGTTTCCAATTTCTTTTGTTATTTTGCGACAAGCATCTTCTATCTCCTCCTCTCCAGTCAGGAAAACAAGTATGTCACCAGAAGGCTCGCACATGTGTATCTGCACAACAGTACGAATTCCAGCCTCCAAGTAATCTCTTTCAGGTTCCTGGGTATAGAATATCTCCACAGGGTGTAGCCTACCAGGAACCTTCATAAGTGGTGCACCATAAAAATAACCCTGAAACTTTTCAGCCTCAAGCGTTGCACTCATAACAACAAGCTTAAGGTCAGGTCGATTCTTTAACACTTCTTTCAGAAGCCCAAATAGCACATCCGTCGCCAAAGTTCTTTCATGGGCCTCATCAAGAATAATTACTTTATACCTTTCTAAAAGAGGATCAGTCATAGCTTCCCTTAAAAGCATCCCATCTGTTAGGTACCTGCCAAGAACATAAACAAGAAAACCTTAATACTTCTCTCATTCATATCCACGTCGCAGCCAATAATACCAAATATAAGATCAAGAAAGATAAGCTTACTTTAACACAGTTCTTGCACTGCTGCAATCTTCAAAACGAATACTATAACCAACCTCCTCTCCAATAGTTACATCCATTTCTTCAGCAACACGCCGCGAAACAGACATTGCAGCAACCCTTCGCGGCTGGGTACAGGCAATCATCATTTTCCTACGCTTATCCGGAGTTTCTATATCAACGGCGTCCAATACAAACTGAGGTATCTGTATAACCAAAAAAAAAAAACCCTAAAAATGTAACTGCCTAATTCTTTCATCAAACAGAAATCCCCAATAATTGTTCATAGGTAGTAAATCAAATTAAAAATTAAAAATTTACAGCCGAAAAAAATAGCAACCTGAGTGGTTTTACCGCTACCGGTTTCACCGACTAAGATAAGGGTTTGATTGGCTTTCAACACTTGCAAAAACTCCTCTTTCTGTTGCCAAACAGGGAGGGTTTTCCTCTTCTCCAAAATCTCGTAATACCTTTGCGAATAAGGCCTTCCATTCCACTTGTTGATCGAGCTGTTGACGTTCATCGCCGCAAATCCTCCGCCGTTCGATTTCCCGATCTTAGCCGATGTCTCATCCACCACATCGAACAAGCTCACCTTCCTCTTCCTCTCCGTACCCATCCAAAACCCTAGACCTTATAGAAAGGGAAATTTGGATTGGGTCAGCTAAGAAAACTCCTCTTTAAAAAATGAAAACCCTAGAAGCGGAACTCAAGGTTGGGGAAAAGAGGGCGGCTAGGTTATTTGCGTCAGGTTATTACATTTGTTTTAATAGCAGCAATACTTGTTATATGTTGAAAAGAAAGATCGAGAGACAGATTTACTGATTGGTCCCTACCATTTGATTAATTTACTTAGGAACATTTTCTCGTTGACCGACAAAAAAAATCACCATGAGGCCCTCTTCAAATTTAGTAATGGTTTTATTATATTACTTTTTTTAATGCTTCCCTTAAGGCCTTTGGGCCCATTTAATTGGATCTTAATAAAACGGACTTTCGAAACCATTACCCAAACTTTTTTTTATTTACTCGAGCTTTTCAATTTTTGAGTTGGCTCAGGAAGGGGAACCCAATCTTTTTCTGTAATTTTTTACCTTCTTTGGATCCAGCTTTCCTTTTTGGGTTCAATAGAATAGTCTGTTTTGCATCTAATTGAACTATCGGGCTTCGGCCCCGTACATTATATAACCTATAAAAATTTTCAATGAACAAAATTTAATTTTGATAATTTTAAATATATAAAATAAAAAAATAGATTTAAGAAAACGTTTAAAACACTCGTGAACGTATTGGATAAACAATTAATGTTTTTTTTTCCTAAGCAAATGCATAGATGATATTAGTTGGAATGAACAAATAAAATTCATAATATTTAAAAGAAACATATTTGAAATTTATTTGCCTTTCTTGATTGCCTAAAACTATTGATTTTAAACATAATTTCTCATACATCAATATTGTCTAGCATAGTATTATATGTTTTTCAAATGAAATGAACTGAATTGTATTTTCATTTGGTGCCAATATATGCTAGGGCGAAGGCATATACATGAAAAAAAAAAAAAAGTTACTAGAACTTGAAATTGTAGGCAAGTCCTATCATATTGAGAAATTACTAAAACGCACAATTCAATGAACACAAAAAATAAAGTTGAAAAAAGATAAGATTTAGCATTCATTTATAAATCCATTTGCTTGACTCTAGGATGACAATTACTACTAACAACCAACAATTTGTGTTCCCTTTTGTTCAAATTGAAATCCTTTCATTTCTTTCTGGATATCCCAAATAAAAAAAAAAAAATAGTAAGTTTAGTTGGATGGACAAGAGTCTCTCATCGCATCCAAATCAAATCTAAATAAAATAGTAGTAAAAGATGGATTTACCATAAATCATTGCTTTAACATTTTTAATTTAATGATATTTTTATTTTCTATTTAAAAAAATTAAAATAACATGCGTTTACATTTGAATCAAATGTTCGGATGGATGCATTTTTTTTTCAGAAATACAAATTTATTCTAAAAACTTTTTTTTTTTTGGTGATATTGTAACAACTCCTTAATTATAAAATCACCAATATATCTAAAAATAAAGTAGATATATATATAAGCACCAATATAATTTTGTATATATAAGCGCCAATATAATTAATAGAATGCTGTGTTGGATGCAAAATTAATATTTCTTCTTTTATTATTCCTTTACTGGGAGTCCTTGAGAGCCATGCATAAATGCCTAGATGATATTATTAATACTGATCTCCACCACAGGATACGAAGAAGAATTGAGTAATACGGCCAAAAAATATATAAGTATACATTATGTTACAGCTTACAACTAACTACTTACAGCTTGCAACTAACTACTTACAGCTTGCAACTAACTACTTACAGCTTACAACTAACTACTTACAGCTCAAAAGATGATCATATTCAATAAGTAGGTCCAGTGATCACGCCAAACCCAACAATCATTAACCTGATCATTACGTGTAACATTTGTTGGCAACGTCGTAAGTTTACGAGGGAAACCATTAATGTTCTTACAACAAGTTGATTCATTAGGGTTTGCTAATTAGTCCTTCGTTGCCTGCCAAGATTAAGTACTTGTCTCTTCTCGTAAGCTTGGTGCAATCAAAACCCAGAGCTTTACCAATCTCATTCTGAACATGATTAGCCACGTCAAACCTTGATCTTTCACTATGATCATGACAAGCGGACAAGCCAGATACACCTTCAAGCATTTGGACATTGTAGCTTGGTCGTGGGTTCATGAGGAAGAAAAGTGGGTCCAGGCATTTCAGGCCACCGGCTGTTGTGCCATAGAACATGCTAACATGGCTGTCCATTGCAACAGGGACTATATCTTCGCTCATCTCTGCAAATAAAGGACTGAACCTTAAGAGATAGGGCTCCCTACACGTGGTCCCTTCGGGACATACAACTAGGTCCCCCTGATTTAATAGATTTTCCATCTTTTTACGATCTTGATCACGATTCCTTGCCAATCTGACGGTTTTTATTGGAGCTAACAGCTCTGATACCCTGCTTAAACTGTAAGTAACAGCAGTGAGATCTTTCTGTAATAAAAAAGAGAGGCAGAGGGGATCCAGCAGTGTTCTATGGTTGCAAACGTAAAGGCGGCCTTTGGTTTTACGATTGTTTGAGCTTTGAAGTGAATGAGGATGCTGGGTGGTTTGCGGGATTGAAAGAAAGAGGTGCAACCCGCTGTAGGCCAACATAGGGATGGAAATCCTGTATGGAAGAATTAAGCCAATAACAGTTCTGATTATGGAAAGAGTGAAGCCAAAGGGGACCCACATGAACATGGTCAGGGTGGCCAACAGAGTTGGCTGGAAAGCCAGTCTTCCATCATGGAAAATGATTGGTTTGAGGTATTCCTCTCTTGCTACGTGTTGCCAGCTTCTTTTTTCTGCTTTTCTCACCAGGTAAATTTCCTGTTGCAACCAAATGCAATAAATTAGTAACCGGCAAACGTTATAAATTGAGAGACAGACACAACACCGAAAGAAAAAGGTGTCTTCTCTATTAACTTTCACAGTATTAAAAGTAGCAAAATCGATGATTTTTCTAATGTTTACTTTGAATGAAATACATACGTCGGCACAGGCACATCTGTTATGCAAATGATTGGCAGACAGACAAAAATATAAACCTGAATCTTCCTAGGGTGGGGGCATAGAGTCAAAACTATAAACTAAATAATTGAAGCGTTGCATGTATATTTGTTTCGGTTTTCATCAGCCACCTAAAGATTGGTATATATATTCGTTTAAAAGCTACCCAAAGTGATTTTCAAAGAAAGGACACTTGTAGAAGTTGGAAATCACCTTGCAATGAGAAAACAAATGATATTGATCAAGGGATTTCTTGAAGCCACTGATGCCAATAACTTCACAACCCAAATTTTCCCTTCCAATTATCTCCTCCAAAGCAGCCTTAATTCTTTTCTTCTCTTCCATGACTCCCAAAAAGTACCCACAAAACACCTTCAGCTCTCTTCCAACTACAAAATCAATTTCCAGGTAATCCCTCACGAAACTGTCGATCATCACTTGAGGAATATTACTGACAGCCACTTTTTTTCCTCCTTTCTTCAAAATCTCAAATGTTTCCAAGCCAACATCCTCCAAGAAGAACTTTGGCAGAACAGCACTTCCAACTCTGAAGCTGTTTTTCTTTATCCCAAAGAAGCAAACCAGGACCATTACCTTCAACCCCGTCTCTTCACTAACTAAGCATAGAAATGGGTATAAAACAAAAAGAATAAAAGCCCTTAAGAGCCCTCCTGCTTCAAAGGCCACAAGCAGGAAGTAAGGAAACAATGATGAGGACTTCAACAAAGCCTCTTCTACATTGAAGACCAGAGTTTGATTTGACAGGTTTGATCTGTGAGCAAAAGAAGGATACTTGTGATATGTACACTTGTTTGCATGGATATTGCTCACGTTTCTGTGGAGAGCTTTGGGATTCTTAGACTGTCTAAAGACAACTCCATAGAAGAAGAAAAAGAACAGGGTTTTGAAAAAGGAAAAGTACTTCATAAAAAATTTAGCCATATTCAGTTCCAACAAAAGAGTTAGTTGAGTGAAATTAAGCTAGGCATTGTTTGAAATCAGAACCTAGAGAGCTGTTTTTATACACATTTAGAGGGTATAACTGTAATATCCCAGCCCAAATAATAATTGAGCTAGACTAATACTAAAACCCATCAGTTTATTAAGACATTATTTAGTAAAAAAAAAATGGCTAAAATATTAGATGAAAGAAAACCTAACTATCGTGAAACATAAAGGAAATAGAGTTCTTCTTCTTCATCTTTCTTAGGGTTAGAGAATATGAAAAATCAAGTTGGAGATTCACAATCAGAGGCTACAATCAAGTTAATTCCTTAAAGGTGAGTACATGCCCTCTTTTTATTTGAAAAGAAATATCAAGTTAATTGCTATTATTTGGAGTTGAAGTTTTGAGAGAAAAATCAAGAAAAATCATGAAATCCTTCATTAATCTTGATGATCTATTTAGGTAAATTATTGGGCTTTGTTTATTTCATGTTTTTAAGATTTATTGATTATTATTGAATAGAATTTGAAGGCTGAAAGTAAGGATTTGAGTTTTTAAAGATTGAAGGAGAAATTCTATTTTTGGATGAGATGTTGTGATTTGCAATAAGGAATTAAAATAGAATTTTGTATTAATGGATAGATTATTGCTGTGATTATTATATATCATTGGAAAGCATGTTGAATCTAATTTCTAGTGAAATAAACGAAAGTCAAATCCAAGTTTTCTATAAAGAGTTGTCTAATTTTAACTTAAGGATATGCAAGCTGTAAGACAGCAGCATCAGTGTTGAATTTCGAAATTCTTCTTAATTTGTATACAAGGATTTATAGATTAAGTCATATATGTTTGGAAAGCTTATTGAGTCTACTTTCCAATGAAATAAGCGGAATTGAATTTGAAGTTTCCTATGAATAAATATATAATTTTTATTAGAAGGTATACAGTCTATTTGGCAGTAGTATATGACGTGAATTTCAAAAATTGTTATAATTAATCTACAAGGAATTATGAGGTGTGCCATATATGGTTAGAAAGCTTATTAAGTCTAGTTTCTAACAAATTAAAGAGATCATAATTCTGATTTGGATATGTTGAGATATGACTGTTTTAATGAAAAGAGGTCAGGCTGTCAGTATTAATTAGTTAAGTTAACCCTTTGTGTAACTTAGTTGATTTTTGTATAAATAGTCTAAAAAAAAGGGTTGATTAAATTTTGATCTATTGAAATGATCTTGGATAGACCATTAATTATTTTTGGAGAAAAACTAAGTAGTGAAATCGAATGGAGGTAAGTAGAATCTCACACACTTTGTTTGTTTTTGAATATATGTATATATGTATATTTCTAAATGAATGAATATTTTGTTTCATTATTTTTAGTGTATGAAAATAGGATCAAGCATATGATTATTTTGTGTTTATCTATATAAATGACGGATCATGCTTATGAACGAAATGAGAAAATGATTTATGTTTAAAGAATAATTTTATGATAGCTACGTTTTTACATCCATGGGAAGTGGGATCATCGACACCAGAACTTAGTTCTACGACCCTGGCTATCGGGTAATAGTAGTTAGTAAAGATATGATCATACGACCCTGGCTAATGGGTAATAGTAGTTAGCGTAAACCCTGGTTAACAGGTTATAATAGTTAGCAATGATCATGAGAATGAAATTGTCGATACGGCCAATGTCACGAGTTATAGCAGTGATTGTAGCTAACGATAAATGAATGATAATGATGATTTATGATGATTTTAATGATTTATCCATGATTTGGTTTGAATATGATATTTGAATGATAGTATATTTTACAATGATTTATGAAGTGACATATTTTGATATTGATTTATGAATTTATGAAATATTTGACAAAACGATGATCTTGAAATATTTTGATATTATGATTTGATGAATGTTTTGAATGATCTATATGATGTGTAAGAAAACGATGTTTGATCTGATAAGGTGTGTGAGCCATATTTACTGAGCTGCGATTTGCTCATTTTTTTTTTACTTTTTCTTTACAGATGATTAAGTGATAAGTTTGGTTAGTCTTGTGTGAAGCTAAAAGATAAAATAGAAAAGATTACTTAGTCGTCGAAGAAAATATTGACCAATGAGATCTTAAGAGATAGTTTTATATTTTATATAGTTTGTATTTGCACATATAAAGATGTATTATCAGTTGGATTAAAGATATAAATTTTACTTGATAGATTATTTTATTGAAGAATTTTAGAATGATTAAGAAATAAGGCTTCGTATTACTTTGAGATTTTTTTCAAGGTAATACGATCGTATTGCGTCTTGATCTCGGGGCGTGACAAAAGTGATATCAGAGCTTAAGTTACGATCTTTTGAGAATTTTAAGAGGTAGATTATGATTTGTAGATTGTGTTGAGATTTTCTTTAAAAGCTTAAGTTATGTTTCTTGAAGATTTTCTAAGAGTTCAGGTTATGATCCTTAAACTATATGAGATGTTAAGGAGCTTATAATATGATTTTGAAGATTTTTTAAGAACTACGATTATAATCTTTGAAGATTTTTAAGAAGCTAATTTATGATAAGTAGATTAACGGTGATTTTTAAAGAATATAGTTTATGATCCTTGGATTGAAAGAGATATTCTATGAGTATGGTTACAATCTATATATTATGTGAAGATTTTTAAGAATTAGATTATGACCTATGGATAATGTGATAATTTTTTAAGGACATAACTTTGATCCATAGACTATAGTGGTGAGTACAAGTAAATGATTCGATGAATTTTGGAGTTGTTAAAGTTTCAATGAATTTTGAGGAATCAATGATTCAATGGATTCTTGGTGTAATTATTTTGTTGATATTTATATATTGCTTTTGGATCTTGTAGTTAAGAGAAAATGTAATTACTTTGATATAGTGCGATTTTATAAGTTGAAGAGATTTTTGACGCCATTTATAATGAGATATATTTTATAAGTTAAAAGATTATTTAAGAGAACAATTTGGTTATTGGAGATCCTATGGGTTTGAGAAAAGACTTTCGACTTAATGAGGTTTTGAAATTATTTGATAAGTGTTAAGTGAATCCTTGATCAATGATGAAGATTAGAATATGAGTGTACATTGTTGAAATTAAAAGTATAGAATATTAGAGTTGGAATGAAATGATATGTTGAAATTTTGATGCAATTATTTATGGGTTATAATGTTTGAGAATTTGTCTTGATGGAATTAGTCCAAAATGTTATAATTGTGGTAAATAGCTTTATATTTGTAAAGAAGGATGTTCACTTGATTTGGTTATACTTTTTTTTATTAAAAAAGTATTTAAGGTTTGATCATGCGAGCTAGATGTTTGTATAGTTAATTTGAAGTTTGATCATTAAATTCCTATTTAAGGTGTACTGATATTTTTAATGGCTAAAGTGATTAATTTGTGGTTATAGTTTTTAATTGAAGTATACTATTGGATTCCTTCGAATTTTATATTTACGGAGAACATGGCCTATTGTGGTATGAGGTTGTATACTTAGCAATGAATTAAAATTATGGTTATCTAGATGATTTAGTAAGGAAGTTGGTTTTAAATGAGTAATTGATTTACAGAAAAATATATATATATGTTTTGGTTAAGAATGATTGTTTGAAATCTTATAAGTGCAAATGATTGTTTGAATTTTACAAGGGTAAAAAATTGGTTGAAATCTTATAAGTGATGATTTTGTTTACTTAGTGATGCTAAGCATCTATTCAATTTTAGAGAAGTTTGATAGAACTTCTGAAATAATGTGATGCATTTGGATATTGTTCATAATTATACTTTTGGTCTGAATTCAAGTGTTTGGAGTTCTTATTGGTTCAAACTTTATAAATTTTTTTTTTTTTATGGATTATGATGCATAGTTTTTAACTTTGACATGAAGATGATAGCAATATATTTGGTAAAAAGAAAATTTGAGACATTATGATGTTTGTGGGGATTATGAAGAATCAATTGTTATATGATAATTGGTATATTAAAAAGAATAATATTCGTAATTGAAGACAACTTTGATAATTAGAGATTTATGTTTGAATTTACATGGTGTAAATTTATGGATATGATCTATTGCATTAATGTCATATGTATTATAGTGGTTAATTGATAGAAAATTTTATGTTGTCGGTGGAAAAGAAAAAAAATTAAAGTATTATGTGATATCTTTTTGGTGACAAAATGATTTGTTGATATTGTTATTCAAGGTTGTTATGGTTATGAATACATGGTGTGAAGCATATTACAAGGAATTTTATGGACACATGCTTTTCTTGTTACAAAACGATGTTATGAAAGTTAATTTGTTTGAATTGTATTGGAAAGAAATATCAGAGTGCGCAATGGAAGCCTGAATTGATTTTAAGTTCTAAATTGTTGTACTATTATTAGTTGAGAAAGTGATGAATCTTTAATAAATAAGGACTAATGGATTTTGGATAAGAATATTTTATGTTCCCTTCATTTTTTAGGCTTTATTGTTGATTGACATTCTTTTAAGAAATGCTTATGTCATGACTTGAAGAGAAATATTTTATAACGATAGTCATAAGATAAACATTCAATGATTCATTATTTTGAGGTTTTGTATGAAAGCAGATCTAAGTCTTAGACTTATTGGCATAAGGACAAAGAAGAAAAACTTTTATTTCTTGAATTTATGGAACAAATGATTGATAAATTTTGATTGATTAAGTAATGGTTTAAAGTAAGCACGAGAATTATACCATAATTTGGAGATATGATCTATTGTTTCAAGTGGTTAATCATTTGTACTCATTACGAGGATTATAAAGTAAGAAATGTTAAGTTTGTGTTGTAAAGACATTGAAGTTCTAGGAAAAGTGAAAAAGTTCAAAATAAAAAATATTGTCACCTTTGATGTTTAGTGTATATGATGAATCTATGTTAAGAGGATATCTTAGTAAAAGCTATGTGATTGGATATGAGTATTTAAAAATTCAAGATGATATGAGTTTTAACATATTGAAATATTTTTTTTTTGAATG